ATAAAAGGTGTACAAGATCTGAATGTAGAAAAGATAAACCTAAATAGTAAACTAAAATATTAAAACATTAAAGAAGACCCTCATAAATGGAGAGACATGCCATGTTGGTGACTAGGAAGGCTGGGTGTCATAAATACAGGCAATTCTCCCCTAGCTGATCCATAGATTTAATGAAAATGCAACCCAAATGTGTTGCACATGAATTTTCAAGGAACATGACATGTTGATTCTAATATTTATACTGGAAGGGCAAAAGGTGAAGAATACGAAAGATACGCCTGAAGATTATGAATAAGATGTGGGGACCTTCCCTACCACACATAGATCAAGATGTCCTGTCAAGAGGTAAAAATTAAGATGGTGGAGTATTGGCACAGGAATAGACAAATTTATCTATGGAACAGACAGGGAGCTCAGAAGCCGAGACATGCAAAGGTGGACCAAAATGACTCCAGGCACATCCAAATGTTCCTCGGGGGTACAGGATGCCCCCCTGATTGAGAATCCCTGACATAGGAATATGGATGAATCTTAAAAACACACGCTGGATTTTGTAAAAGTAAATTACAGAATACCAAGGACATGAGTTAAAACTGCACGCGCATGTAGTATGTCACATCCAAGGAGAGAAAAGTCTGGGAAACAAGGTTTGGGGGAACGCAAAGCTCCACCTCACTTCAGGAGTTACTCACTGGCGGGCTTGGTAAAGCCAGCACGCAGAGAAGTGGGAGGACGGTAAGGGGGCGGGGCTTTGGTGGGTGAGTTCCGGTGGAACTCGAAGCTCATTGGTCGCTGGCCACAGATGTGGGAGGAGCAAGGCAGCGCTGGAAACTCATTGGCCTTTGTGCGAAGGGCGAGAAAGGGAGAGAGAAGCGGTCTTCCCTGCCACCTCCTGTCACTGCGGCTGGAGGCTGAGGTAACCACAGGCTGGCATCAGGAATACGACCCTCGTTCTCCACACGTCTTCTTTCCTCCCTCCCTCCTGCTCTGGATCACCAACCCCTGGCCCTCTCCTCCACCTCAGTGGGGTCCCTCTGCCCGCTCCTGATGTCCAACTCAGTCACCCGCACCCCCACCCCCACCCCCAACCAACAACATTGGAACGCCTGGGGGAGGATCCCCTGCCTCAGACCCTTGACTCCTGGCCTCTGGAACCTGAGGCAGGGCATATGCCCCTGCCTTTGATTTTGATGTGGTAGTGGCAGCGAATGACTGGGCTGCCTTGAGACGGGGTAGTACACCCTGGGTTTGGGGGACAGGGAAGGTGTACCCAAGCAGAACTGTTGAAGCGTGAAGAGGATCATGGGAGATTGTCAGGAGGCTGTGGAGGGAATACATGGGTTTGAATGAAAGCAGAGAGGGTGTGTTGGTGGAAGAAAACAATTAGTGCAGCGAGGAGTTGTCTGTTGACCAGACCAGGGTCTGGCATTCCATAGGGGGCCCAACAAGGATCTAGTCAATGACTAATCAAAGGGATGAATAAAACATAATTATCGAAAGAGGGGCTTGGGATTCAGCAACATAATATAATTTCATGGGGTGCAAAGGGGTGTCCGCTTAAAGGGGGAAAAAGAGGGGCGCCTGGGTGGCGCAGTCGGTTAAGCGTCCGACTTCAGCCAGGTCACAATCTCGCAGTCTGTGAGTTCGAGCCCCGCGTCAGGCTCTGGGCTGATGGCTCAGAGCCTGGAGCCTGTTTCCGATTCTGTGTCTCCCTCTCTCTCTGCCCCTCCCCCATTCATGCTCTGTCTCTCTCTGTCCCAAAAATAAATAAACGTTGGGAAAAAAAAAAAAAAAAAAAAAAGGGGGGGGGGGGAAGAGAATAATTAAGATTACAGTGGGGTGCAGAAGAAGATCAGAATGGGGTGTGAGAGGAAATTCGAACGTAGGATGTACATGAGACTAATAACAGAATTGAGTTCAGGAGCCATAGAGTCATGAGTAGGGAGTGAGTGACTGTGGGAGGTTAGGAAGACAACGGTGGAAGCGAATGCCAGGAAAAATAGGTATAGCAGAGTAGAGGATGACACATGAGAAGGGGAGGGCAGGAATTGTTGAAGGGGGCACAAGAGTGAATGTATATGCCTGAAAATGGGATCCATGTAGAGTGAAGGTAGGCAAGGAGAATGATGATTGGATTGAAAGTTGACAGGAACCATGCCATGAGTTGCTTGGAACGAGGCTTTGCGTGAGTAGGGCCTCCCGGGCAGGAGGCTGTGTGAGCAAGAAGGGTGGGTGCGATCCAATTTCAGCGGTGAGCTGGATGAAGAAGAATCCAGGCACCTCAGGTGGGGATTTTGAAGGGCAGAGGAAGTATGCTGAGGGTAGGGGATCATGTGGCCATCCTGACATCCACTCCTGGCCCTAGAACCATGGATCCCAATGAAATGCCTGCTGTGCCCTGCTGCCCCTCCGACTCCCCCACTGGCCTTGAGACCAGAGCCCCATGGGGGATCGAACTTGGCCCCAAAAGAACTGTAAGTTGCTGTGCCCGCTGCTACAACCATGGCCTCGATGACCAAACCAAGGACCAGGAGCACTCCTGCCCCTTCCAGGCTTGCGAATGTCACAAGTGTGCCTTCTTCTCGTGAGTATGGTGTCTGACAGTGGGGGTGGGGAGGGGGCCTCCTCTAAATGTGACTGACTGTAGACTGGCAATCCCCCACTTTAGGGATCCCTGCAGAGTCTTGCCTGCTGAGAGTGCCTTGAAGAGGGAGCAGGGGGCATGCCTAAAGAGGCACCTGACTCAAGGACTGATAACGAGTGGGGCCTCCCCTCCCAAAGCTCACAGCCATGTCCAGAAGTTGACCATTCAAGGAGAAGTCGTCAGTGAGTGTTTCTGGTCAGGGAGGGCGTCTTGGGTTTGGGTGTAGAGAGCACGAGCAGTGCTGCCACCAGTCCTACTACCCAATTTCGATGTGGCCTTGGCAAGTTACTCCTCAGGGTTTTAGCTGCCCCACCTATAAAACTTTATCAATATGATCTACCAAGTGTTGGTGGGAAGGGGCAATCGGGGTGAGGGGTGGGGGGTGGGGGGTGGGGGTGGAAATGGTTCTCGGTGAGATGAGACCTCAGATTGGAGGTGAAGTAGAGTGGGGGTGGAGTGAGGTGGGGTGGGTTCAGGGGGGAAAGGCTCATCTAAAGTGTCCCCAGCTTTCCACAGCTGGGAAGGAGAACATCATGTCCCAGCTTGAGGCCCACCCCTGTGCACCACCCCCCCCCCCAGGGAAGTAAGGAGAGTCTGAGGGCTCTGAGGAGGTTCCCATCTCAGCCACTGCCCAGACTCTTTTGTCTGTGTCCTGAAGACATGGGTTCCCTCTCTAACCCTACTGCAGCCTGCCATATGACTTTGGGGAAATAATACTCCTCCTTGGACCTCAATTTCCCCGGTTGGAAAATAAAGAGCAGGAACTGGCTGGTCCTCAAGGTCTTCTCAGCTCTGACTGACATTCAGGGCTACTGAATAGCTCTGACATTCTGGGCTACTATCCTCATCACACAACATACCCATGTCTCCTCTCCATGGCTGGCCTGGTGCTGACACTCCACCCTGTCCTCTCGGCTCCTGCAGGCGAGCACCCAAGGAGGTCTGCTGATTGGTCAGGCCCCAAAATCTTTGTCTCTATCTTGGACTCCAGCAGCCTTGAAGATGCAACTCACAACTTCTCTTTCCAGGAAGACCCACAGGACCCCTGCCCTGTCCAGCATGTGCGTAGAGTGAGAAGGACCACGGAGCTAGTTGTATATTGTGTTATTGCATGCCTGGCCTTTGTGCTTGATGCCGTGGGAGATACAAGGAGGAAGTGGAGGTGGCGACCGATGAGCAGCCAGAAGGAGGGGGAGGAGAGGAGAAGGACGAGAAGTGGGAGGAGGAGGAGGTGGTGGTGGAGGAGCAGGAGGAGGGGAGGAGGAGGCAGCATCTCAGACTAGTGGGGAAGGGCAGGGTTCTCCCAGCCTTGCCATTTCCTATTTGTGAGAATATGGCCATTTCCAAGCCTCCATTTCCCTAGCCGTGTACTGATGGGGACAATATCATAAACCTATAGCATTGACAAGAGGACTAGGCCACGTTGTGCCACAACGTGGCACATTCCTTCAACGAATGGAGGCTGTTAGTCCTCCATTCAGATGGAGGAAACAGATTGATGGGAGAGAAGGTCCTGCTGAAAGGAGGGCCATGGTGGTGAGGGCCACAGAGCCCAGGGGGGAGTCCAGAGGCCCTTAGAGAAAGCTTCCTGGAGATGAGCCAGGCTGGTCCTTCAAGTTCCATGGGGACTGAGGAATATGGAAGTGAGAACCAGTCCCTGGACAGGACAGTAATCACATCTCTTCAGGTGCCTTGCAGATTAAAATGCAGACACCTGTGATTTCCTACACCCGTCACTGTTGCCCCGAGAGTTTTGAAACTGCTGGCAGGAATGAGTGTCTCAAGAAAGATATACAAGAAAGACATAGAAAGGAATACAGGCCAAACAGGGGAAAGGACTTGCACAAGCCACAACGACTAATGGCCAGCAGGCACTCAGATTCCCACATCCAGATATTGCAAACTCCTGGCCCTGTTTGTCTACTGGCAGTATGTGTCTGCCAGAGGGTTTGATCCCCTGGCCTCTCCTTCCTTGTTTCTAGATGCTCAACTCCGGTCCTCCAGCTGTGTGCCACCCTTGACCCTGTCCTCACTGCGGCCACAGATCCTGGAAAATAGTGGGGTCCAGGACCCTGGCAGGGGCCAAGCTTAGTGCATGGGAAGGGCAGATGGCCTCAGGGTGGGTGGGGCCTTCAGCGGAACCGGGGGCTGAAGGGACAATTGCAGGACGTAGGGAGGCATAGGTTTTCAGTTCCCATCCTCTCACACCCTTTCCATTGCAGGGTCCTGAGGCTTCTGACCAGGACTCAGTTTCTGCCTCCTCAGAGTGGCAGCGGAAGCTGGAAGCCGCTGAGGCTCTGCTGATGCTGAGAAACTCTTCTCAGACATCTTCTGGCTCCATCTCCCTGCTCCAGCCCTGCGTGGCAGCAGGTAGCCTGGTCCTTGAAAGGAGAGCACAGCAAGGGGGTGGGGATGGTTGGAAAATGGGACGGCGCTGTGGTAAGTAGGGCCTATCTGGGAGGTCTGGGTTGGTGGGTTGAACCTCCTTGGGTCTGGGGAACCCAAGCTCCTCAGCCTGATGTCAGAGATGGCAGGTGATGGTTGCTCAGTGAATCGTCAGAGCTCTGTGCTCATCAGGAAATGCCCAGTGCATTTGGTGTCAAGAAACAAGGAAACTGAGGCCCAGAGAGTGGCAGGGACTTGCCCTGAGGCATGCAGCATATCAAGTGGCACGCCCAGGTCTCCTCACTCCCATCCCAGAGCTTTCTAGTCTGACCCCTGAAATCTGTTGTGGTGGGCAGGATATACATAGGTGATAAGAGCCTAGGCTGGAGGGAGATCTGGTCTCTGCCTCCAGTCTACATGTGGAGCCTGGATGCCTTCACTAGTTGTGTTTTGTGGCTAAATTTCAATGTTGAGCCTGGAGAGGAAGGATCAGAGGAGCGATAGAATCCTGGGAAGGTTGAGAGGGAAGGCTGGGCACTCCCAGACCAAAATGCTGGATGGGGTGTGGTGTGTGAGTGAAGCAGCAACATTAGAGGAACTGCTGGAACAGAAAGGGATGAGGCTGGGGAGGCTACTGGTCACCCAGGTCTAGAATGCCAGGCCTAGGGGCTAGACCAGAAACTGTGGGTGGTGAGGAGCCCGGGAATGTCTGAGCTAGAGAGGAGTATATTCAATTATCCCGGGCTTGACAAAAGAAAAAAAAAAAAAAAAAAAAAAAAGATATGTGGTGACTTTGATGGAGAGATTGGAGGAGGCAAGACCCAAGATGAACACATCAGCGAGGAAGAGTTCTGTGCTGTAGTCCAGGTGACAAAGCCTCGATTGGGTGGAACAAAAAAGAGGGGAGAGCCAGGAGGGGAAACGGATGTGACGTGGGTCTGATGCCTTCCTTTCTATCTGCAGCTCCTGCTGGAGATGAAGGGCCCCAGCCTTCTAGCTCCTCTCTCCAACCCAGGCCAGCCAGCTCCATTTCTCTGCCTATTGGACATCTGGAGTGCATCTCCCTCTTGAGCTAGAAACCCAGAAGAGGAGGCCTCACCAGAGTACTTCCTATTCATGCATTTGCAAAATGTTTAAAGTCCAAAATGCTTAACATGTTTGTTTTTTTAACCTCTAGGTTCTTTCATAAGCTTTTCAGACTCTTTTTATGAAATGGGACAATTCCTTGGCTGAGAGTGGATATTCTTGTACCACCATCCCTTAATGCCTAGATTCTGGGGCCTTTTTATGTCTCTTACGAAAACAGCGTCATGGAGTCTAAGCTGATCAGTCTCTAAATAGGGTTCTGTGGGAGGTCATATGTTCATATGCCAGAGTTTTCATTTGACTCGTGATTGCAAACATACCCATGCACTCATGCATGTATGCATGCTTGTCAAAATATAAGGGTGTTTTCATTTTGTGTCTAGGTTTGTGTGTGTGAACAAATAATAAATTCTCGTTGTTGTAAGGCACTGCGATATAGGAGTTGTTTGCTACCACAGTATAACGTAGACTCTCCTGACTCTAACAGACTTGTTCAGTTTACTTTTCTAAGTGAGAATCACCTTACTCAATAACTGGGCTTTCTTAGCATGACAAGACAAGAAAATGGTAGCGAAAAAAGGGGGAGATGGTGAGGGGGGTAAGGGTTTTACTCATTTAGCAAGGAAGTGCCTACCTTCTGCCTGGCATAGACTGCTTCCAGCTGTCCAGAGGGCCCCAAATTGGGTTGTCTTCAGGGTCAAGCAGGTCTTGCGAATGAACAGAGCAGGACTGATAGGCTCTGGCCAACTGACAGTGCATGCTCTACCTTAGGGGCCAGCTGCCACCTGGCTCCAGCCAATTGTTGTCATGTAGGGATGTGGACTCTTCATTGCCACATCTCCTGATTTTTCAAGAGAAGATGGAATTCTAGATTTCTATGTAAAATATCTCAATTTTAAAACACTGGCTCTGGTTTCCTGTACGTGGGCCAAAGAAAACATCCATTCAGGCCAACTATGGCCAAGTGAATGCCAGTTCGATTCTAGTCGAATGTGTATTTTACAGTGGGGGGCACTGAAGGCAACCAGGGCCAGAAGAATCAAAGAGGGGACATGAATTAGACCCAGAGCCTACTTTTGAAGGACCCATGAAATATGAGGAAGAATCATTATCATTGATTTTGTGCCCACTGTATGCTAAACACATAGAGCCTCACAGCAGCTCTCTGAGCTAAGCATTATTACCAGTCTTTTACCTATGAGGACACACACTATATGAGTACAAGTAACTTGCACAAGTGTTTTAGGGGAAATTTGTAGCCACAGATGGATAGAGGAAGACTCCCCTCTCTTTGCCAGGCCCTAAATTAGCTAATAATTTTATAAATTTTAAAGACTAAATTCTATAAAGTAGCAATTACATTACCTGCATTATATTTAAGACAATCATAATACATACTCATCAATCTCTCATTACTTTTCCTACATCCTGATAGTATATCTATGTACATATACCATTGAGTGAAAGGCTCAAAACTTGAAGCAGCAGACATCCAGTGAGAAGAGTCTTCCAAAAATAGTTCTTTTGTCTCCTATTCAATGTAACAATATGTAGTAGTGGATCAGATCTTATGTGCACTGAGATCAGATCTCGGTCCTCTGCTGATGTTCCAAACAAAGAAGGACCTGGAGACCCCGCCCAGAAGACGGAAAGCTCCACCGGATATGCCCAGTCGCTGACTATTTCCCATTGTGTTTTCTCCCTCCTCCCATGCCTCCTTCATTTTTACCCAAGACGATTGATGGTGATGACATCTGATAACAACTTATGCTTTCTTGTTTCAGGCCTTGAGAAGTCAGGCTTCTTATATTCCTTATCTCATGCCAGATAAACATGCAAGGTCACTCAGCACATAGGGCAAGACTGATGTCCATCTCATGCTTTCCTTCCTTCCCTGATTTGCTACTTAAATCAGTGATCCCGAGACCCCTCCTCGCCCAGTATTAGATAAACAAGGCCACACTGTCACAGAGGAAGGAAGCAGTGTTGCCTGGAAAAGGCCCAAAACCCTGCTATGCAGTTGTGTCCTAGGTGCACCACGGTCCCACAGCTGAGTTGGTAAAGGAGAAAGTGTATTTGGGGTTAAAAGTTGTGGCATGAGAAGAGGGAAGAAAAGAGAAATAAGGTGATGGAGATTGGGAGAAGGAGTCAGCCCCCCTTCCCTGTACCCTTTCACTTTTCTGAGTCCCACCTGCCCTTCTACACAGAGCCTCTTAGACCTGATATCCATGCAGCCTCCCCCGCACCCCACAAATGCACGCGTGCAAGCACATGCGTGTACGTACACTGCCCTATACCTTTATTAAAAAGTCTCTTAACGGTGGCATATTATGGGCATCTTAGGACTTTGTCACAAATATCAAATATCCAGCCTTTTTTTTTTTTCATGAACTATCCTTAGTCATGTACTACTCCAGTTCACAGATTTAAAACATCACTTTGTAAGGTAGTGTACGTTAGATCTTGACTCTCATGTGTTTTACAACAGCACCAGTTGGATCTGAGGATATCCACCACGTCTGCAGATCTGCAGCATCTGCAGAGTGCATCAGTTTCAACCAGTGGTATGCATGCAAATGTGTAACAACAGGCTCTCTGGGGAAGGGGGTGGGTTGGGGGAAATGCCCTGTGTTGCAGCATTTGCCAATTTCACGCTACTGACCTCATGTCAATTAAGGCAGAGTTGGGAAAGGATGCATTTCCACCATTCTGATGCAATAAATGTACATAACCTCAAGATGCGGGAAAAGTGATTAGAGGCTGATGAGTTTTGAGTATGTATTATGATTGTTTTCAATATAATGCAGGTAATGTAATTGCTACCTTATAGAATTTAGTCTTTAAAACATCTGTGTTCAACAGCTGGCTCGCAAAATTCCCGAACAGTTAAGTTTGCTCTCATGTTCCAGTAAGAGCCCCCTCCAGCATTCCACTACTTTCAACCCTTGCCCAGAAAGGCACCTCTCCCCAAAGCAGGTCACACAAACACTACAGGGCCATAAAGGCCTGATACCTCTGGTTTCTGAGCAAGAACAGCTTAACGGGTAGGACAAGTATTAATTGATAATGAAAAAAAAATGGAATGATCTGGAGCAAGTATTGAGCAATTGGTCAAAAGTGTTTGTGGGTGAACGTGCATTCCCAGAGACAGCCAACATTGGGTAGAAGTGAGAAGTGGGGACACCAGGGTAAGCAAAGCTCATGCAGGGAGTGTATTCAACAGATTCCTTAAAGGCTCAAGGAATGGGGCAACTGGTATTACCTGGCCATCAGATCTGTATCTCTCATCAGAGAGACAGACATTCAATACACTCCCTCCTCCTTAGATAAATGCTGCGTAATCTATACAAACTCCTCCACTTTGCCTTTTCTCATGTAGAAATATGGCCTTCATTGTTACGTATGGGAACTATGTTATACAGCAGATCTCTAAAGCACACTCATCTTGAATAACTGTAATTTTATACCCATTAAACAACAGCTCTCCATGTCCCCCTTTCCCCCCCTCTCCTGGCAACCACCATTCTATTGTCTGTTTCCATAAGTTCGACTATATTAGACGCTTTGAATAAGAGGTGCAGTCCACGTAAAAATATGTCAAGAGGGTAAATCTCATGTTAAATTTTCTTCTCACAAGAAAGCAAATTAAAAAACAAACCAAAACACAGTAATAAAAGGACACAGAAAAACTTCTGGAGGTGATGAATATGTTTATTACATTGATCGTGGAGACGGTTACACAGATGCCCAAACTCATGAGATTGTATACACTAATATGTAGTTTGGGTTTTTTTTTTTTTTTTTTTGGTATACAATTATACCCCAGCAAAGCTGAGACAACAATATCCCTGAGATCACTCCATAGTGCTCCATAGAGGCATCTCCCACTCCTTTCAACAGCTGCAGAGTATGCCATTGTGTGAACAGACCATGATTTAGTCAGCTAATCTTCTATTGATGCACACCTTGGTTGTTGCTATTATGGCTATTACAAATACACCCACAATGCATAGAATTGTGACATAATCTTTAGCAATGTTTCTCAATGTATCTTTGAGGTTGATCCCTAGATGTACTACTATTGCTGAATAAAGGGTGAAAACACACGTAATCTTGCTCATTACTGTCACATTCCCTTTCATAAAGGCTGTGGCATAGCAACCAACAGCCAAAGCAATCCTCAATAAGGAGAGCAAAGCGGGAGATATCATCACACTTCCTTATTTCAAAGTAGATTGCAGAGCTATAGTAATCAAAACAATATGTTGCTGGCCCCAGAACCGGCACATAGACCTATGGGACAGAATGGGGAGCCTGGATGTAAACTCACGCATATGCAGTCAGCTAATATTTGACAAGGGAGTCAAGAATAGTCAAGGAGGAAAGACAGTCTCCTCAATAAATGGTGCTCCTCAATAAAGGAGACAGTCTCCTCAATAAAGTGAAACTTCACATGCAAAAGAATGAAATTGGACCCTTATCTTGCTCCATCTGCAAAAATTAACTCAAAACAGAACAAAAACTTTAGAGTATATATAAGACCTGAAATGGTAAAACTCCTGGAAGAGAACATAGGGAAAAATCTCCTTGACATTGGCCTTGACAATGATTTTATAGATGTGACACCCAAAGCACAAGCAACAAAAGCAACAGTAAACAAGTGTATCTACATCGAACTAAAAAGCGTCTGCTCACAAACATCATTTGAGTGAAAAAAGCCCAGAAAGAAACAATATGTACTCTATAATTCCATTCATAAATTGTTAAAACTGTCAAAGTCAATTTACAGTGATGGAAGTTGGCATAATGGCTCCTCAGGCAAGGGGCTGTACGATGTCCTACTTCTAAATATGTTTGTGGATGCATGGGTGTGTCATTTTGTGAATTCAGGTACACACTTTGATTTGTGTAATTTGTGTAGGTAGGTTACGCTTTACTAAGATGTACTTAAAATTTAGGAAAGAAACGCGTTGAAAAGGCTAAGTGGAAAAGACAAGAACAAAAGAGTAGTGGACAGTTAGGGTACACATGGGTATACAACATTTGGTATTTTAATGTGCAATATTCTAGTTGTTTCATATTGCATGATACACTAATAATTCCATGAGAACAAAAACTGTACCTCCTTCATTTTTACATCCCCTGAATGTCCATAATACTGTAAGTCAGAGTAGTTATCAAAAATGTATATATTTAACAACAATTTTTGAATGTTCTATTCACAGCAAAATTCTCTGCAAGGAATATGATAAATGAACAAATAAATTTCTTCAATGAAAAGATAATAAAAAGTTTCCACACAACCACATGAATGATCAACAAAATGAAAAGGAAACCTACAGAATATTTGCTCAACCTCATATCTGACAAGGAGTTCATGTCAAAAATATGTAAGGAACTACTACAACTCAATATTAGAAATGCAAACAATCCAGGGGCGCCTGGGTGGTGCAGTCAGTTAAGTGTCCGACTTCAGCCAGGTCACGATCTCGCGGTCCGTGAGTTCGAGCCCCGCGTCAGGCTCTGGGCTGATGGCTCAGAGCCTGGAGCCTGTTTCCGATTCTGTGTCTCCCTCTCTCTCTGCCCCTCCCCCGTTCATGCTCTGTCTCTCTCTGTCCCAAAAATAAACGTTGAAAAAAAAAATTAAAAAAAAAAGAAATGGAAACAATCCAAATAAAAAAAATGGTCAGATGGCCTGAATTTTCATCATTAGTTTCAACCATAATCCTATCGTGGTCAGAGGACTTCCTCTTTATGATTTAACTCCGGTTAAATTTGTGCATATTTTATCTTGTGGCCCAATATGTCATCAATTTTTCTGTACGTTTGAACTGTGTGTGTGTGTGTGTGTGTGTGTGTGTGTGCACGTTTGTGTGTGTGTGTGTGTGAGTGTGGCATGGGCGATACTATTAAAATTTCAAATGCATACTTCAGCTTTCAGCCTCTACCTCTCCATGCAAGGCCAGAGTCTTTCATCTCTGACTCTGTCTCACACAATACTGTGCTTTTATTCTTTAACTCCCTCATTTTACCAAGAAGTTCTTTAAAACTCTGAAGAATGCCAGGATAAACAAATTCTGCCATATTCTCAGAAACTCCTCCAAGAAGGGAAAGGAAAGAAGGCTTATTAAGGGCTCCCAGTAAATAACTACCCCTAGTTTTTTTGCTCATTTGTTTTCAAAGTTGTCTTATTTACACAGATATACCTTGTGTACATTCTTACTGAAAATTTTAAAAATGAGATCAAATAATATTCCTACCCTGACCACCTTTTGCATGACAAGCCCTTTAGCTAAGTTAGGCACAATTATCAGTTTGGTGTGTTTCTCTCAAGATTTTTGTCAACATATGTTTAAAATTTTTTTATTTA